GTTCACTGAACCACACGCCACCACCGCTACCAATTTGCCCGAACCGGTAGCATTTCACCCCTGGCTGACTCTGTAAACCGCTTATAGAGGGCTGTAAAGCAGTATATAAGTCTAAGTGCTATTGCTATTGCTATTGCTAAGTGCCACTGTAACTCTGAAAAAGTGTTGAACAAATGGTCATAGCTCAAGGACTATCCGTATACTAATGTAGCGGCCCCCAACCTTTTGGGCACAATGGACCGGTTTCCTGGAGAGAGGTTTTTCCTCAGATCAGTCAGGCCGTGGTTTCGTGCGCTGCCTGCGTCCCACGATGTGTGCTTGTTTGCGCGGCCCAGTTTCTGGCATGCTGCAGCCCAGTGCTGGTTCATGGACTGGGGGTTGGGAACCCCTTTACTAATGTACTAACCAGAACTTTTTTAAGACTTTGAGCTCCAAGCTTCAAGATTAAGATGTCGATTCCTAGCGTTGCTCAACTCTTGGTAGTTTTGTAGACAAGACCATGTAGTTTTCTTACTAATAGTCTGCGGGTTGTTTCAGATGCCTACTTTAGGATGTTTTTTTTCGTCAAGTCCCAGTTGCAACATTTTCTAGCATGGTTGCACCACAGGATTTGGGTGAGAATACGGTTAATATACAGGCCGGATATGCTGCAACTGTTTTTCAGAACAAGATGGGATTCAGAGCAGGTTGTAAACTCCTGGATAGATCCTCCGCTCTCTGTATATTTTTATGTGGACCAGAGAACAAGGTTTTATTAAGTGTACCAACTTTTTTCACTGGCAGGAGTGCCCAATCATCAAATTCCTTCCTTCTGTGCAAAAAATTAAGGGGGGGAAGTTTCATTCCGGTTTCTTTCTGGCAATGCCTCGGAATTAAGGCATTCGTTCGCCTAAAGCAGAGATGTCAAACTCGATTTTGTTGAGGGCCGCATTGAGGGCTGCATCAGGGTTGTGTTTGACCTCAGGGCAGGGGTGAAATCCAACAGGTTCTGACAGGTTCTGGAGAAGCGGTAGCGGAAATTTTGAGCAGTTCGGAGAACCGGTAGTGGAAATTTTGAGCAGTTCAGAGAACCGGTAGTGGAAATTTTGAGCAGTTCAGAGAACCAGTAGCGGAAATTTTGAGTAGTTCGGAGAACCGGCAAATACCACCTCTGGCTGGCCCCAGAGTGGGGTGGCAATGGAGATTTTGCAATATCCTTCCCTCAGGAGTGAGGAGGGAATGGGGATTTTGCAATATCTTTCCCTCAGGAGTGAGGAGGGAATGGAGATTTTGCAATATCCTTCCCTCAGGAGTGGGGAGGGAATGGAGATTTTGCAGTATCCTTCCCCTGCCACGCCCACCAAGCCACACCACACTATAGTACGCCCACCAAGCCAGGCCCACAGAACCAGTAGTAAAAAATTTGGATTTCACCACCGCCTCGGGAGGTTGGGGCGGGGTCAGGGGGAGTGGCCAGCTGGACATAATTTATCGAGGCTCCCTTTTTGGCCCTGACAGCCTCATGCAGCTCTCTGCCAGGGAAAACAGAGCTCGGGAGGGGGCAAGCAGCCCACCCGGGCTCCATTTTTGCTGGCAGTGGGCTGGAGGAGGCTGTGGTGGCTGAAAACGGAGCACGGGAGGGCCCCGTGCTGCCCTCCCAAGCTCCATTTTCACTGTCAGAGGCACTGCGGCCCAGTTCTTCATTGTTTCCAGGGCAGCTCTGCAGGCCGGATCAAAGCACCCTGTGGGCCAGATTTGGCCCGCGAGCCTTAAGTTTGATACCCCTGACTTAAAGCAAGCCTAGGATATGGTAGAGATATGAACAGGGCAGTTAACTGCTTGTGCTAAATACAGGTAATCCTTGACTTACAACCACAACTGAACCCCAAATTTCCATTGCTAAGTAAGACAGTTGCTAAGTGGGTTTCGCCCCATTTTACGACCTTTCTTGTCATCGTTGTTAAGCGAATCACTGCAGTTTTGCTATTAACGTGGTTTTTAAGTTAATCTAGCTTCCCCATTGACTTTGCTTGTCAGAAGTTTGCAAAAGGAGAACACATGACACTGCAACCGTCATAAATACATGCCAGTGGCCAAGTGTCTGAATTTTGATTGTGTGACGATGGGGATGCTGCAACCATCTCGAGTGTGCAAACAGTCGTAAGTCACTTTTTTCCAGTAACATTGTAACTCCAAGTTGTCACTAAACAACGGTTGTAAATCAAGGACTGCCTGTAACAGGGCAGTTAACTGCTTTTGCTAAATCATCTCTCTCTCTCTGTCTCCCCCTCCCAGTTTCTCTGCTGAGCATTTTCATTGCAAAGTCTTAGAAAGCAATACAGCCTGCCTACCCCTGTTTGCAAACCATTGTTTACAATTTATGACCCCAATCAATCATGGTTTGCTTGAAAACCATTATGCAAGTTGAGTTTGGGGGCGATAAGAGCCGCTCACCAACTGTATCCCTGCATCACACAATGTCTTCACCTGCTTTATAATCTGAGTACAGGTAGTCCTCGATTTACGACCACGATCGAGCCCAACATTTCTGTGGCTGGGCGAGACATTTGTTAAGCGAGTTTTGTCCCATTTTACAACTTTTCTGGTGGTTAAGTGAATCATTGCAGTTGCTAAGTTAGCACGGATCCCCATTGACTTTGCTTGTCAGACGGTCACAATATGAGTCAATTGCCAAGTCTCTGAAGTTTGATCACCTGACCATAGGAATGCTTGCAAGGGTCATCGGTGTAAAAAACAGTCATTGCTGTTGTCACTTCGAACGGCCACTAAATGGAGTGTTGTAAGTCGAGGGATACCTGCATTTGCATAGATGGAAGCTAAACCGCGATTGAAAAAAACAACTCCAGTGCAACGGTAAACCAATCATCCACAGGCCTGCCTCTACGTCTTATCAGGGGACCAATCCAACTTATACCCAAGTTGTTCCAAAAGTGATTTTTTTTTTCAAGAGGCAACTGGACTTTCTTGTTTTTTCTTTGAAGACATTTTGCTTCTCATCCAAGAAGCTTCTTCAGCTCTGACTGGATGGGGGGGGGGAATGGAAGGATTTATACTCCTTGCAGACAGCTGGTCATTTGCATTTTTTAAGAGGGTCCTTGAAGCACTTTTGAGGTTTATCTGTGTCCTCAGGGTCACCTGAGTAGTGCAAATGGTTCCTGTAGTCTGCAAATCCCACCCCCAATCCATTTCTACTCCCACACCATTCAAAGGGTGATCATCCCAAATTGTATAGCTAAAAGTATGTACCCAAGTTCATAGAATAGAATAGAATAGAATAGAATAGAATAGAATAGAATAGAATAGAATAGAATAGAATAGAACAGAACAAGAGAAGAGAAGAGAAGAGAAGAGAAGAGAAGAGAAGAGAAGAGAAGAGAAGAGAAGAGAAGAGAAGAGAAGAGTAACAGAATTGGAAGGGATCTTGAAAGTCTTCTAGTCCAACCCCCTGCTTAGGCAGGAAACCTTACACCACTTCAGACAAATCGTTGTCCAATCTCTTCTTAAAAACTTCCAGTGTTGGAGCATTCACAACTTCTGGAGGCAAGTTGTTCCACTTATTAATTGTTCTAACTGTCAGGAAATTTCTCCTTAGTTCTAAGTTGCTTCTCTCCTTGATTAGTTTCCACCCATTGCTTCTTGCCCTAGGTGCTTTGGAGAATAGCTTGACTCCAGTGGTGGGATTCAGCCAGTTCTCACCACTTTGAGAGAACCAGTTGTTAACTTTCTGAGCAGTTTGGCAAACTGGTTGTTGGATGAAATCATTAGGGCAGAGAACCGGTGTTAAATTATTTGAATCCCACCACTGCTTGACTCCCTCTTCTTTGTGGCAGCCCTTGAGGTATTGGAACACTGCTCTCATGTCTCCCCTAGTCCTTCTTTTCATTAAACTAGACCTACCCAGTTCCTGCAACCGTTCTTCATATGTTTTAGCCTCCAGTCCCCTAATCATCTTTGTTGCTCTTCTCTGCACTCTTTCTAGAGGAGGGGTTTCCAACCTTTCGGACCTCAGTAGGGTTGCCAGGTCTGCTTCCAAAAAATAGTGGACAAGCGGGAGGAGGGAGGGTTAAGTAGTAAAAAAATAAAAAATTTTTTACAATTCGTTGTTGGTAATCCATGCAAAAGTAGCTTCCCAGTCTTTGGTGTATTTGCACACTCCTCTCTTTCGTGTTAAAGAATTCGAAATCTCGCCGCTGTCACTCTCATCACTCGACGCCATTTTAGGTCAGTCGACACAAGCTACAATACATTTTAAAAATGTGAACTGTACATAATTTTATAATATATTTTTATTTTAATCTCATCATTAATTTTTTCGGAGAATCGAGTTCAATGGATATTCGATCTTTGTCTCATTCTAACTTATGAAAAAAAAAGACAAAACGCGATTCTCCTATCCTTATTCTCTTAGACTGTACAGCTTTAGATTACGTACCATTTCATCATAAAGCTTTTGAATAAAAAAAATGTCCACTATTTTGTGAAAAAAAAAAATAGTGAACATAATGTGAAAAAAGCGGACTGTCCGCTCAAATAGTGGACACCTGGCAAGGGTAGACCTCAGGGACCACTAAATTCACAATTTTAAATCCCGCGGACCACTAAGTTGAATTTTTAAAAAAAGATAAATAGTATTTTGTGCAATATAAAAAAACGCAAATATTTTTTCTGCGGACCAGCAAAATTTTCTCACAGACCCCCCAGTGGTCCACGAACCACCAGTTGGTGACCGCTGTTCTAGAGGCTCCACATCCTTTTGCCTTGACTCCGAAAAGTCAAGCTGAATCTAAGGTGTGTGGGCTGGGGTGGAGTGGGGGGAATGGGAAGGCGTCGCAAAGCGAGGACCAGCTCCGAGGCGCCGGCGCGGAGGGGGTTAAAGCGGCCTTGACCGGCAGGGGGCGTGGCCGAGTCGAGCGGCAGGTGAGCATAGCCCGCAGGTGTGTGGCTCGGCGGGAGGCGGGGCCGCGGTGACGTCAGCGTGGGCGGAGCACTGCCAGGCAACAGGTTTCCAGCTCAGAATCGCCCCGTTCGAAGACTTCTCCGCTCACTCGCCTTCCATCACTCCCGGGCTGCGCAGGGTCGCAGGAGGGAAAGGCGGGTTTTGTCCGGCTCCTCTCCGGCTTCGACATGGCCAAAAAGAAAAAAGACGATGACGAGGCTTCCCAGTCCGACCAGTACGGTGAGTCCCCGCGGTGGATCACGGCTCTCGCGGCGGGGGGGGCGGGGGAGAGGGAGATGGAAGGGGGGGAAAAATAAAAGAAGAAGTAGGTTGAGGCTGGAAAGTCCAATGGTTGGAGCAGATCCCACCTTTTACCTCCTCCCCACCATCCCCCCGGTTTTCTTTCCTACACTTTTAAGACCCGTGGCGTGTGAGAAGGGCGAGCAAGGGGAGAGAAGAGAGCAAGGGGATCTTTGAAACTAGGAGGATTTGGGAAAAAGAAAGAAAGAGAGAGAGAGAGAGAGGGAAAGAAAGAAAGAAAGAAAGAGAGAGAGAGAGAGAAAGAGAGAAAGAAAGAGAAGGAAGGAAGGAAAGAAAGAAAAAGAAAGAAAGAAGGAAGGAAGGAGAGAGAGCAAGGGGACTTTGGAACTAGGAGGATTTGGGAAAAAAGAAAGAGAGAGAGAGAGAGAGAGAGGGAAAGAAAGAAAGTAAGAAAGAGAGGAGAGAGAGAAAGAGAGAACGAAAGAGAAGGAAGGAAGGAAAGAAAGAAAAAGAAAGAAAGAAGGAAGGAAGGAGAGAGAGCAAGGGGATCTTTGGAACTAGGAGGATTTGGGAAAAAGAAAGAGAGAGAGAGAGAGAGAACGTAAGAGAGAGAGAGAGAGAAAGAGAGAAAGAAAGAAAGAAAGAAGGAAGGAAGGAAAGAAAAAGAAAGAAGAAGAAGAAAGAAAGAGAAAGAAGGAAGGAAGGAAGGAAAGAAAAAGAAAGAAAGAAGGAAGGAAGGAAAGAAAGAAAAAGAGAAGAAGAAGAAAGAAAGAGAAAGAAGGAAGGAAGGAAGGAAAGAAAAAGAAAGAAAGAAGGAAGGAAGGAGAGAGAGCAAGGGGATCTTTGGAACTAGGAGGATTTGGGAAAAAGAAAGAAAGAGAGAGAGAGAGAGAAAGAGAGAGAAAGAAAGAAGGAAGGAAGGAAAGAAAGAAAAAGAAAAAGAAAGAAGAAGAAGAAAGAAGGAAGGAAGGAAGGAAAGAAAAAGAAAGAAAAAAGGAAGGAAGGAAGGAGAGAGAGCAAGGGGATCTTTTGGAACTAGGAGGATTTGGGAAAAAGAAAGAAAGAGAGAGAGAGAGAAAGTAAGAAAGAGAAAAGAGAGAAAGAAAGAAAGAGAAAGAAGGAAGGAAGGAAGGAAAGAAAAAGAAAGAAGGAAGGAAGGAAGAAAAAGAGAAAGAAAGAAAGAAAGAATAAGTAAGTTTGAAGTTGGAGCTGTTGGGGAAAAATGGACAGCTGATTGCTGGCAACTTTTGGTAGATTTCTTCACACTTTTGGGTGGACACACAACGCCCTGTTTTAATTCCTGCCTCTCTGCTGGCAAGAAACTTTGGAATTCATCCCGGAAAGAAGAAGAGGAACTGTAAACCCAAACTCAGTCTTAGGAGATATCTCTGTTACAAGCTGGTCCTCATTTTAATGACCACAATTGAGCCTAACATTTCTGCTGAGGAGTGAGGGTTTTTTGCCCCCTTTTACGATCTTTTCTCACTGCTGTTGCAAAGTAACTGACCGCACTTGATAAGTTAGTAACCCGGTTGTTAAGGGGAATCCGGCCTCTCTCCGTTGACTTTGCTTCTCAGAAGGTCGTTGCGACCCTGGGCGACGGTCATAAGTATGAACCATTTTGCCAAGCGTCTGAATTTTGATTGTGTGAGCATGGGGATGCTGCAAAGGTCATAACTCTGAAAAATGGTCATACGTCAGTTTTTTCCATGACTTTGTAACTTTGAATGGTCACTAAATGAACTTTTTAAAGTTTTTTACAGTATTTTAAATTCACGTAAAGCCATTGTGCTCTGGCTGTTCTTCGCTGGGTTTTAGACAGACAATTTTAATTTGAAGAAACTTTCTACTAGTTTCTTAGTCTACTACAGTACAAGTACTCCTCAACTTACAACAGTTTGTTTAGTGACCGTCAATGTTACAGTGGCACTGAAAAATGTGACTTATAACCATTTTTCACACTTACTTACAATCATTGCAGCATCTCCATGGTCATATGATCAAAATTTGGATGCTTGGCAAACTGGTTCATATTTATGACCGTTGTTGTGTTCCAGGGTCATGGGATCCACTTTTGCGACCTCCTCACAAGCAAAGTCAATGGGGAAGCCAGACTCCCTTAACAGCCAGGCTACTAACTTATCAACTGCAGTGATTCACTTAACAACTGAGGCAAGAAAGGTCGTAAAATGGGGCAAAACTCACTTAACAAGTGTCTCACTCAACAACAGAAATTTTGGGCTCAATTGTAGTCATAAGTTGAGGACTACCTGTCCTGACTACCTGTACTTTTGGGCAGGTATGTGTGTCTTTGAATCCGTCTTGACTCCTGGCGATTGTCTACACAAATGTCTTGTGGGTATGGGTGTAGTTATATGTATGCCACACAAGTCAGTGTGGACTTTTGGACAAGTGCCTGATTTAGTCCCTGCAGATTTTCTGGCAACATTTTGGAAGTGGTATATGTATATGTGTGTGACTTTGATCAGTGTTGACTTGCTGGACTGTCTGCAGATATTTGGGGGGGGGCAAGATTTTGGAAGTGGTATGTGTGTATGCCTTTGAGCCAGTGTCACTGACAACTTCCTGGATGGATGGATTGCTTGGCAACATTTTGGAAATGGACTGTGTGCCTTTGATCAGAGTCCTGACAACTTCTTGGAAAGGTCTTGGCCAGATTTTGGAAGTGCTTTGTCCTTGCTGAGAGAGAAGGACTGGCCCAAGGTCACCCAGCTGGCTTTGAGCCCAAGGCATGGCTAGAACTCACAATCTCCCAGTTGCTAGCCTGTGCCTTAATCCCTACACCAAATTGGCTCTCTACATTTTGAAGTGGGAAGGCAAATGTTATCGTATTTATTTATTTGGCCTTTATTCCACCTTTATTATTGTATATAAATTATTAAGTGTGGCAAACGTACCTAATCCTAGTCAATGAAGATTCTCACTCGTCCAGGTAGAGTTGTCTGGAAGTTGAGTCATGGCTACTGGTCCCCCTAACCAGCTTGAAGGAAGAAGATACTGGGACAAGCAGCAAAACAGACAAAAAAGAAAATGAGGTCCAGTTGCCATTACTCAATTAACAGACTTACCTAATGCTACTTCCTCCTCTTCTTTTTCCCACAATAAACCACTAAGTGAGATGAATTGGGCTGAGAGAATGACTCATCCAAAGTCACGTAGTTGGTTTCCATGCCTAAGATGGGACTTAAACCCACAGTCTCTTGGTTCCAAGACCAGCACCTTAACCGCTAGATCAAACTGGCTCTAAATAGCAGAACGTAATGTTGGTTTGCAATGAAACTCAAATACTTTGGCCACCAAATGAGAAGGAAGGACTCACTGGAGAAGAGCCTAATGCTGGGAAAGATTGAGGGCAAAAGAAGAAGGAGATGGCAGAGAATGAGGTGGCTGGATGGAGTCACTGAAGCAGTCGGCGTGAGCTTAAATGGACTCCGGGGAATGGTAGAGGACAGGAAGGCCTGGAGGAACGTTGTCTATGGGGTCGCGATGGGTCGGAGACAACTTCACAACTAGAATAGAATAGAATAGAATAGAATAGAATTTTTTATTGGCCAAATGTGATTGGACACACAAGGAATTTGTCTTTGGTGCATATGCTCTCAGTGTACATAAAAAGACAAGATACATTTGTCAAGAATCATAAGGTACAACACTTAATGATAGTCATAGGGTACAAATAAGCAATCAGGAAACAATCAATATCAATATAAATCGTAAGGATACAAGCAACTTAGTTACAGTCATGCAGTCATAAGCGGGAGAAGATAAGTGATACGAATGATGAAAAGATTAATAGTAATAGTAATGCAGACTTAGTAAATAGTTTGACAGTGTTGAGGGAATTATTTGTTTAGTAGAGTGATGGCATTCGGGAAAAAACTGTTCTGTCTAGTTGTTCTGGTGTGCAGTGCTCTATAGCATCATTTTGAGGGTAGGAGTTGAAACAGTTTATGTCCAGAATGTGAGGGATCTGTAAATATTTTCACAGCCCTCTTTTTGATTCGTGCAATATACAGGTCCTCAGTGGAAGGCAGGTTGGTAGCCATTGTTTTTTCTGCAGTTCTAATTATCCTCTGAAGTCTGTGTCTGTCTTGTTGGGTTGCAGAACCAAACCAGACAGTTATAGAGGTGCAGATGACAGACTTCACAACTAACAACAACAACAATAACAAATGTTGGTTTGCAGAAGGATTTTGAATTCCACATCTGGTGCCCTCAGCATGAAAGTGTCTTCAACCTGCCTTTGATCCTTTCTGTCTGTCAGGGCTAAACTGTTCAATGGGTTGACTCTCGTGAAAACATATCAGAAAGCAAGGCTCTTTTTAATGCCGATTCATAGGTGTGTTACGTACATGTATGGGTAGAATTATACTTCCTTTTGAGAGCAGGCAACAGAATTTCATTTTTAATGTGTGCCAGTGCACTCACAGTAAAAAATGACAATAAAGATTATTTTATGAGGCACAGTGTCAAGGTTAATCATGGAGATGGTTCACATACCTGACCAGTGTTTCACATCCTCAGCAACATTTAAAGTGGCAATAAAGTTATTCTAAAGTCTAAAAGTCTAACTTTAAGATGTGTAGACTTCAACTCACATCTGAAAGTAGCTGACAATTGAGAAACATGGTTCTAGAATCTAGATCAGTGATGGCTAACCTTTTCTGGACCGAGCACCCAAAGCACGCATACCCAAACCCCCAAAATGCAATGCGTGCGCAGCCCCACGCATGTGCCCCCTTGCATGTGTGCGACCCCCTACATGCTCTCCGCCACCTCTACATGCATGCGCTGCCCCCCACACATGTCCTGCCCCCTGCGTATCTATGCCACTCCCCACACCCTTGCGCATGTACAGCAGAGCTAGCGTGCACACATGCACAGCAGAGCTGAACTGAACTGTGACGACGGATCGCGTGGCATCAGAGAGGGCATTGTGTGCCACCTCTGGCACACAT